ATTATAAAATACACATGGAATATTTAATTGCGATAATATATACGTAAATTAAACAATTTACGTGAATTTTGCCATTTCATGAAAAGAATGTAGGCATTTTATGAAGCCTATCAACTTGTAAAAATTTGATATTTTGTAGAAAAAAAGCTGGATTTTATAAAATGACTAAATTTATGCATTCTGCAATATATATATATATATATACATATATGTATGTATCATCGTGGTTAAATATTTTGAATATCCATTTCAAGCAAATTAAATTGTTTTGTCTAAATATGAATAAATTTAAATAAATTTTTAAAATTAAACATAAGCGGTAATTATATAATTGGTTAATTGATTAATTGCCGCCGTAGAAAAGCAAATGTTGGAAATATTTGCGAAGAAAATCACGAAACGAGGAAATTAGTACAGGAAATTGCACTATGAACTTGTTAAATAGACTGATTATTTAGTATACAAAAATCAATGATCGCATGTTAGCAATAGCGTAAAATTATGATGACAGATCAGAAATGAGAAAAAGTCGTAACATGATCATACAATATACGATTTATCACGGTCAGTCAAAGTGGATGAATAATATCAAAGTCGCAATAACATCGTGTTTATTTTCGCAAAAACTTGAACCTATTTGCACAGCATATATGTTTTTGCAATTTTGTCACGTACCAATTACTCCCGGCCTATATTTTCAATATTTTCTGAAGAAATTAAATTTTTAGGTTTTTGTAAAACTTTTTCTTGATGATGATGAAATTCTGATAATTATGAAAGTAGTAAGAATGTATATTAAGCCAAGCCTGACGAAATTGGAAAAACGAGTGGTGATAAAAATAAATAGTGATTAATGCTATTGAAAATTTAAGAATGCTATTGCATTTGCGAAAGGCGAGCATTTCGTAAAAGAAGCCTGCGGCTATTACTTTCTTGACATTAAATAACGTTGTAAATATCTTTAACGATTAATTACTCCGGATATTAAGAAACAGGATAAACGAAGCGCTGTATGTTTTACGACCTTGGCGTCGATCAATTACACCAAGAAATCCTCGACAAAGTGCGTGCAAAAGACAAGAAGTATGTTGCAAAACCCCATCTTACACCAATATATTAATTAAATTAAGCAAAATTTACACGTGCACTGTCAGTCTCCAATAATTTTAACACAATCTCGATCAATTCTAAATAAAATATAAACTTAAATGGTTAATCTGAATGAATCAATTGAAATAAAGTTGCAAAAAAAATTCAATTATTCTACAAAATTAATTTTTGTGTAAATTTTATATGCAAACGCGTGAAATAAATATGATCTCGTCTAATGTATCTTAATATTCCGTTTAATACACGAGTAAAACAAAATATGCTTGAAAAGAATGAGACCGGCATTTTTTTATTAAATATTTTTCAATAAATTTAAAAAAATTACACACATAATACAGATAAAAATATAATAGGCAGGCACATCGGCAAGTTCTTTTGTTGTCAATAATAGTCCGACATCTCCGTGTTATTGTAAATAGCATGCGACGGAGATGCTAGATTATTATTGACACAACACGCTGGATCACTCACTACTGTGACTACGTATTATATTTTTATCTGTGTACGTGTATTTTTTTAGATTTATTGAAATAAATTTAATAAAATAAATGCCGGTTACGTTATTTTTAAACAGTTCATTACTTCTCTACGTTATCTAAGAAAAACAAGTGACTGGAAATCTTCAAAATTCGGAACGTTAGATCGTCGACAAACAAATGTCTGTTTGATGCTGCACGTCGTACGCGTAAACGCCGCCGTAACTTCTAAAGCTTTTTGTCTGAAAGGTAAACCGGAATGCGTGAAAAATAAAAGAACGATATACTTATTGTCTTGTCGTTTGTTGACTTTTAAGTGGCACTAGCTACAAGCCGTCATGATGTTACTAGATGTAGCCTTGTAAAGTCATAACTTACCTTCGGCCAGCGCTATCTCAAAATCAACAAACAATAAGAAAAGAAAACACAATTTCTACTTTTCCTTTTCTTTTCCACATTTCGCTTACTTTGATGTATCTGATGTCGCAACGTTCAATGAGAATTTCGCTCAACGTCTCGCGAGAACTGCCGGATATTTTCGCAAGGAACCGTATCGTTTCGCGCGCTCATCGTCCGCGATCGCAAAACACGTAAACTCTCCTATAAAAGCGTGTAACGTCGAGCAACGAGCAGGACGGCGCAATTAATGGCGTGGGCCGTGGTCGATCGTGCAATTAACTTTAACGAACGGGCGGCCTTGCGATTAAACTTAATTAGTATCGCGGTAATAACTCGTTAATAATCAGAGCCGTGTACAGGAGAGTGACTCTGTATATGCACGACTGTACACGAGCGCGCATCATCGTTCTCCAAGCATGCAAGTGTGTTTATGAACAAATTCGTGTGTGAAAGAGAGAGAGAATATGTGTGGATCTGTGTGTAAAATACGGTTTGGTAGCTCATGTGAATCGGTTTTATATTTACGTATCGACGACGGTGACGAAGAGGACGACGACGGCGACGCTACATGATTTTTGTCGCCGAATATTGAGAAGAGGAAATAAATGATTTCCTTCCGACACACCAAAGTCCTTCTCAACAAAACCACATTCAACACCAATTAAAAAATACCGAGATTCGATTTAAGAAAGAAAAAAAAAAAAGAGATAAAAGCAACACGACAGTTTATTCACTTAGCTACATCTTTACTCGCACATTTTCCTTCGATCTGCCGCGCACGAGTTTGCAAAATTACTTTGGTTGTTTACCTCCGTTGGTTTAATCTCCGTTCTTCGTGTGCTCGTACGCTGTCGTACTGAGAAAAAATGAAAATAATCAAGAGATTCTTCGTTTTCTGTTTCAGCGACACGTGGAAATTTCCCGGAACGAGATGCACGGATGCACCAAATCGTGTGTGTATTCTCTTGATGACTGACACCAATTAACTGACTGATTTGACAGGCAGATTGATTTCAGGACGAAGCTCTACCGGTGAGTGTACTTCTTCATTCTCTCCTCACGTTTTCTCGTCGCGCACTAATTCTTTTGTTCTGTTTCGCGGCGGCACCGGTCTCGTCGCGCGTTACTTCAGAGGCGCGACATATGAATCGCGCGTGACTAGCGCGTAAAGATCAATGAATTGCGGAAAACGCGCGTACGCCGCTCACGCGTAGTTACACGTAACGAAGGTCCGGACCGAGGACCAACCGGAGGCGAGTATCAATGAAAGTAAAAATGTTCACACTATCGTCTTTCTCTCCCCCGGCTGATGATCAACAAACACGGCTGCAAAGCACGAAGCTTGAGTGCGCACCGGAACGGCGTACCGAATTATGAGACGCTTTACACTTCGTAGTAGGTTTGCTGCGCCCTCTGCCGGTTATGCTGTCTCTTTCTTCAGCCTCGTGTGCTCTCTTTCGCTCTCGTGCTCTGGTCCCCACTAATAGAGCGCGAGTCGGAGATTCTCCCCACCAACTAGTGATACGTATACAGCATTGCTCCCCACTTTATCCTCGTTATAGGAGCCTGTAATACCCCCACCAAACGCATCGCGTCGGTAGCATTGCCCCTTTTGCTCGCAAGTGCGCAGAGAGATAGAGACCGAATGTCAGTGAGGATGAAAGGAGAATAGAAACGGAGAATGTTGCCACCTTACGAGGCAGGCGTAAGTACGGGGATGATGACGGATACGTCGCCGAGGCGACGTGCGCGAGCATGCTTTATGTCTTCCGGTGTGAGGTTATAGCGCGAGAATGATTTTCGGAATAAACCTTTGAGCACCGCGGGGATCGGCGATGCTGGCAGTCTGATACGGCAGAATGGTCCTACTTGTGTAAAAGAGCCTTTTATATTGATCTTTTGATAGCAACTCTGCCTCGATTTTCGAAGCAAAAAATTGCCCGGTCCTAATCTCTCGATAAATTAGGAATTATTTATTACAAACGCACATTCAAACGCTAACGTGCGATTTTTCTTGCAGATATCAATTAAAAAATGCTTAAAACAAGCTTAAATACAATTATCTGCATAATTAAATAAGATAATTGATTCACGAAGAACATAGTAAAGAAAATGGGATTATAATTTTGAAATAAATATTAGATAACGAAATTATAGACGAGTATAATTTTGTTTTCTAATATTTCTTCTTGTTCAATCATTTAAATAATCCTAGTCACAAGGTTTAATGCTGTGATTTGTAAATTTTTAAGCTTGAACCTTTTTCATTTGTAGAACACACACAATACATATACAAAGAGCTGAACCTTCCGTCAGAAAGATCATCAAGAAGATTGGAATTGCAGTATCTTTAAGATACCGAAATATATCTCTAAAGATGCTTTTGGTGTCACAGTTTCGGAATAGAACGAATCGATATTAGAAACAAGAATATCCTTTTACAATTAGCAACTGTATTCTTTAAGTAGACCCAGATTCTCTGCGAGCAAATGTATTGCTTGTCACAATTTCTGTTCCAAAAATTTCTTCTATTTCAGTCAATAATCAATTTTTTAATGATGTTTCGTAGGAAATGATATTAATAAGCAATTAAACAATAAAATACTACGCATAAATTCTTATGAAATTTCTTTCTGACATTAAAATCAATGCTGCTTAATTATTTTTAAATGCGTATTATGGAATGCCAAAATTATTTTAGAAACACATTGATAAATAGTAATTATCGGTAATAGCACACGTTTAATGCACAGATAAAAATATGTCATTCATAACATCATACGAATGTATAAAATTTGAGTAACGTAAAATACGAATAGTGCTTCTTTAAAGAGTATTATCGTACAATTCACGTTCAACATCTCCCATCGAGTATGAGATTAGGATTCACCCAATCAGCTCTCGTCGCTCTCTCCTTTTCTACATGTGTATGTGTGGGCGTACTGTACATGCACACGCATTATTAATGCATTATTAACTTGCACATCGGATATACCTTGGAATAACACACGTGATATGGAATAAAAAATAGACCGTAAAATTGTTACTTACTTACCTGAAAATCAACACAAAAGAAAAACGATACTCCTAAAAAATTTTCTAATTATTTGCCTTAGTCACATCTTTTGTCGAATTTAAACCTAATTTAATGGTCTGCACAATGACCAATGACTCTCGGAAAGGTGGTATTGTATAGATTTAAAAACGTCCATGAATGCTCAAAACTAACGGAAACACGCCAATTCTAAGTATTAAACCTTATCCGTAACCAAAATAGGATTATACAACGCTTTTACACATTATTTCGTTTCGATTCGATTTTTAAATAGAATTTTTCGTTTTCAAGCGTATAGAAATATTTGATAATTAATCATCATGAGAATAATTTTCTTCGCGTCTTTGCAATATCTTGTGCAATACACGTTCTAAATGCAACCACTAGCATGCAGCACCACGCAACGTGCTAAGTTGCAGTTCTCATTGTTACCCTTAACGCTGCGATCGATAGACTGTGCTGAAGACACACCCCCGAGTGTAGTCCAAAGTACTTACCAAACGGTAATGACCAACCGGGGGACGTCTGAGATAACGGCATTATACTAAAGGTCGGTAAGAGGCTGCAAGTGGGAAAAGTTGCGCGCCGAAGATAGAACAAGAGAACGGAAAAGTGGCGTACTTATTTCACTTTCGTTAATTCCTTCTTCCATTTCGCTTCCTTCACCCTCCGGTAGATGTCGGCGTTCGCGATAGGGGTTGCAAAAGGGGTTGCAAGAGGGGTTGCAAGACCGAAACTGCTTCAGTTCATGACGCGATTCTTTCGCGAGCAGGACTGATCTCCTCCAACTGTATGCATCAGAAAAAAAGCTAACTTTGTGGGAAAAACATCTGAATCGTTCATGATAACACAAATGTATTTAATTACATATCGATTTCTTTATTTTTCTTATTTTCCTCCTCACATTGTACCTTTATGATGTATCACTTGTTTTGATTTTATTACATAGATGTGCATCGCGCTGTAAAATTAGCTGTGACCGCAGCAAGATTCTACAATCATTCGAGAATTATTATGTTGTAACGGCGACGTTATACGCACCATAAATGTATTGCGTTCTAATTGCACAAGTGACACTTGCCTATTAGTTTTATAAATTAACGTCAAGCGTATTTATGATAATTTTTATACTGTCTTATAAACGATAAACGTTCGGCGGAAGTGTCCGTCAAGGAGCCAAATAAAAATGGTATTTTAATGACCAACTTTCTGGTAAATAGCGCAATTAATATAATCGTGTTGATAGTTTGTTTCGAAAGTACTAATAATGTGCTCGTAATGTATTCCCCGTTAACATTCCGATGCGTGTTTAACGATAGGTGAAAACACACTCGTACTAAACGCAGTTTAATTTAAAAGTTTACTGTTCGTAAGAAAGATATGATTTTATTTTCTCCTTTTTGAGAGAACTTTGCTTGACAGTCTCTTTTAGAAAGGGGGAGAAAGTATTATGTAATAAAATATATCAAATTTAGTTAAGTAGTACACGTTTGTCTCTTTCATTTGCTTTTTGAAGTGCATATGCAGAATATCGTGTTCTGTCGCAGTTCATAAAGCGCTGGAAGAGAGAGACGTGACAATGCTGGGTGAGTTGCAGAATGAAAGGAACGAAGAAATATCAAATTGACAGGTGGTGCAATAGTTTCAGGGAAAATGACGTCACATATCCGATACCTGCTTTCTATACAGAGTTACGCAAGCAATGATAACAACTCTACACATTGCGGTCCGATTGAAAATTGATTAATTTTCTAATTTTAAACTCTTGCAAAAATTATTGTTTATGAGACGTCGCTTAAGTTTGATATTACTTTAATTACGGTTTAATTAAGTCCATTATTTAATTCAATTTCTTTTGCCGTTTGCATGAATTCAACGGAAATAAAAAATTAACGAATTAATGGAAAACCGTCCTGCCGCTAATAGTGTTAGTCTTCCACTGCGATAAATCGAATTCCATATTTGAATATTCAAGTATCGGAATATTGACAGCTATACATGACAATGCGGAGATATTTTAAGAATGAAAAGCTCTAACTGTCTACTGCCAATCGTGTAACAAATAATGGCATTATTATTCCAAATCTTTAAATTTTCCAATTACGAATAAATTGCAATTTTGTCATGCTATTAATAATTGTTCTTGAACAAAATAGGAAGAAAATTTTCCGTTTTCTAATATTACAGAATCATTCAACGGTATCAGTGCTTACATTGCCGAGAATCACTATCACTATCGTGAGATAAAAGATTTAACGTGTATGCGTAAATCATGTTAATACGAGATGCTTTGATCCGACCAGTTTATATCGTACTCATAAATATTTGTTACACTGAGCAAATAAAGGAAAAAGAATCGAGATTGCGACTGTCACAGAATGCGACCTCAACGATCTTTGCAGCCGGAAATCACCTGTGCGATTTCCAAGTCTCAAACTGTCATCTCTCTTTCGGGGTATCAGCCACGTGTCCCACGTCTGCCTCCGATTATCTACCGTCGCGGCGCGAAGCCTCGGCTGCGCCAGCGCAAGCGATCGATATTCCAGACTGCCGGGGTTTTCGTCTCTGCGCGTGACGTCACGTTGCGCGAACCGAGCCAAGACGATAGGGGCCGTAGCCTACCGAGGGTGACCGAGGTGGTGCGAGCCGCGTTAGCAGCGAGCCGTCGTCGCGAGCACGGTCCGAACATTACCGTCGTTTCCACGTAGTGTCCACTACGTAACCCTCGAACGTTTCACGCGAAATAATCCCCCGGCTGCTCGCAAGTCGCGTCCGCGACCGGTGAATTTCTCGTTCTCGCGAATCCCGTTCGAGTTCCGATCGACGAAACATCCGCGCGCGAAAGTGACAGCTCCGAGTGGTGTGCTTCGGTCCCCGGGGGGACAGACAACATTGGGAAACGCCACGCTTGCAGGAGAGAGAGAGAGAGAGAGAGAGAGAGAGTCAGTCCCGTAAGTTTCGACAGATGTTGCGTGGTACAAGAGGTGGCAAAAATTACCGGGGATAATCCGTTAAAAGTGCCGATGGATTTCCGAAACGGATAAAAGCGCAAGGTCGCGTCGACCTTCGCACCGAGCGATCATCTTGCAAAATCTCCCGCGGAATTGGTCCAGATTTCGTGCAGAGGCGAACTGCAATATTGGCACAAAACGTCCATCGTGCATCGTGACAGCGCTCGGGTCCGCCTGACCATTTGCCGGCGTTTTCTACTGGCGCGCGTCCGCCGTAGAGAACAGACAAGAGCGAACCGCCACGCTCGTGTCTGATCACAGGCGAGCTGCAACCCCTTTGGGTCGCGACGCAGCTGAGCTCGACCGGGCGCGACCCACAGCCCTACATTCGCGGTCTGCGGCATGACTAACCTCAACTCACCCCACCTTAAGCGAGCTTCGTCACCACCCTCTCTATTCCGAGAACCGTGACAGGATCTTACGCATTGGATTCTCCTCTCATCAGCCACATACTCTTGTACAAAATTAATCAATAGTGCATTATGACCTATTTTATTCTCTTTATTTTCTCATTCCACCGATAACTTCACACATTCAGAAAATTTCATTGTCGAGAAGATTTCAATCTTTTCATTTTTATCAACAGTGTGTGTGTGTGTGTTTGTTTTTAGAAATTTTATTCTACGTTTGTACATTTTTTCAAAAGCGATTTAAATCCACTTGAGAAAATAATATAAATGTACGTATCCAAAGTTTTTCTTCTTCTGTGCGATTGCAAGTGTTTAAGAAGGAAAAATATTTAATCTGACTGTTGATAATAATTGGAAAAGTGATTAGTTATCGTATATTTGGCGAATTGCATGCCTGACCTTGGTGAAGAGATCAATCATTTACGTATAGCGACAGCCTAGGGACAACGCCTTCCGATAATAGTGCTGTTAATTAACGAACAAACGATTTGACGGCCGTAGGTCGACGTTGATACGATCGTCACGACGATGATATCGCGCGTCTGTAAGTACGATAACTTTATGAGAACATCTACTTTAATATTCGTCCGGGAAGCTGTAGAGCTACTGCGGAAGGATGCACTTTCACGCGATGCACTTTTATATTAACAGTTCATCAAAGTGCCATTTCTTCGATCGACAGCTGTAAATTCTTTTAACTTTTAGAGATTCTTATCAAAATGGATTACTTTCTTCTGAGATAGCGTTATTGATGTATCAATATTTAATGACATATAAAATACACTATTTTGAAATATATATTATATTTACTAAATGTTGCTTAACCGTACAATTAGATTATGAACGCAATAACGCATTCTGCTATCGTAAACAAACATTTCTGTTGGATAAATCTGAAGCGCCGCGAGCAATATTTTCGTTCTTGACATTGTCTTGCGATATCATGAAATTCGAATCGCGAGGTAAATAGAGTTTTGCGAGTAAACAGACTACGTAAATGGGCGAAGCAAACGGACGAAGAAAAGAAAGTTTTAGTACTCCGAAGACTATCCGGATGAATCGGGTCAAAGCGCAATACGACAAAGCGAGCACGTGTCGCGCTCGCAAAATTGTTCGATTCGATCAAATTGACTTATCTTCCGTGTCGTGCGATGTAACAACAAAATTGAATTTACAATAAGCAATTTACGAAACGCGCCACGACATCTGTGGCTTGTTTTTGGCGTGCGTGTGAATGGCGATGTAAACGCTTGAATCATTACGTTATGTAGAATCCAGCACATTATCATTTGATAGTGACAATAAATTCGACGCACGTACTAATCGCGAATAATCAGGGAAACGCTCCATCACGTGCCCTGAAATATTATTTATGTTGCGATTCTATTTAAATAATTGGATAATTTATAACTAAATTAACGGTATATCGCTAATTTTCTGCTTGTTTAAACAACAATAACGAAATGAAATTGAATAATTTCTGTTCTGAATAACTTCTATAAGCTACGAGCGATGAATAATTTCTATAAACAAAACTACATAATTAGAAATAGAACATTATTCAAATATGCAAAGTACGCGCATCAAATACAAAATATTAAATTGCAACGTTCTGCAATTATTGTTATATTCAAATTATATTTTATCGGGTAGTTGTATTATTTAACGTTAAAACGTAATGATTTTTTAATTTAAGAAAAAACACAATCTGCGACTTATTCGTTGCAATGCATGGAAAAAGTATCATTAAATCTCAGTGCCGGATTTTTGTATAATTTCATGCTCGGTATGCTAGAAAAAAAGAACCTGTTCCAATAGTTAAACATTCATTATAGCCATTAGTGTAATGACAAGCACATTTTATCCTATCATGTTATGCAATATCGTTATAAATAATTATGCGTTAGCATGTACATTTACCAAGGAAGCCGTGGTCAATGGTGCAAATACGCAGTTTGCACCGCCATCAACAATGTATACATGCAGCTTGCATGTATCATTTAGGAAACACAAAAAAAAAAATTATACATAATCTGATTATAATTACACGTACTTATATAATAAATTTGCTAAATACTGAAATCGCGTTTGTGAAACATTTCTCGATTGGTCACAAATAAGTTTCATAAATTTATATTATATTTCTACGTTTAATCAGAATACTATTTAATGTGCTACAAATATATTATCATAAATATGCGTTATTCGACAGATTGTGTAGAGGAAATTAGAATAAAATCTATCTCCGAAGATATGTTCTCCGAAGATCTATCTCTGAAGATATGTTACCTTTAATTTAATCTTATTATTCTATTTTTCTAATATATCTTCTATCTTTCTAATATATTTAATCTTTCGACAGGTAGCCCTCTTGGTTAGTGATCTACGCGTAGCCGCCTCCCCACGATCAACGTAACCTCGATACCGGTAGCAAACAAAAGCAGCAGCATTCTTTATTGTACTTGGCACACTAACGGTGTAAACACGAGAATCCACCAAGACGCGAATCGCGAGTGGTCCGAGAACGAGGAGGAGAAGTCAAGAACGAACGGTGGACGCGGAAGAATCAGGTCGCGAAAGCTCCAGGTGGGATAGCCTTTGATTGTGATGTGGTGGAGCCCCCCGGAGGACCGCGGGGGCAGGAGGTCAGAGGCAGATCGGTCGTGAGGGCAACAAGCACGGCTCGGCTGCCCCGAGGCAAGATCGCCGGCAGGGCGGAGGAGGAGGTAGGATGGTGTGACCTCCGGCGTCATCCCGCCCGACGCGGAGGTGGTGCTGGAGGTGGCGGAGGCGGCGGTGGAGTCGAGCAGCTGCTGCCCGACTCAGAGGAGGAGGAGCCGACGGCGATGTCGAGGCAGCTTCGAGGTGAACGGGACCACGTGAGCCGCGACTACCAAGAGGGCTACCTCAGTGACTTCCGGGACCTACGCGATCTCAGGGATTTCAGGGACTTCCATCGAGAAGATAGGGACGAGAGGGACGGTCAAGGACTGAGAGAAGGACCCACTGCCGGCAGGACTTATCGGGACGATTATTCGGAGGAATACGATCATCGTCCGACCGCTGCATCCACCTCGGCGAATCTCGTCAACAACCCGGTGAGTTACCATTTTTTTTTATTGGGATAAATTAATTTGTTTTACACATTATTTTGTCTTTAATAAGAGCGTATATATGTATGCGAGATACTTACATATATTTCAAGATAATCTCGAATTCTATTGACATTATACATAATTCGTGCAATTTTTGTGCAAATTTTAATAAGGAAATTCTCTTGAGATCGCTATTTAGTATTTACTTTTGAATAAATATAATATCTCGGGTGATATACATATTTAACGCGTTAAACCGCTATTCAGCTGAGATTATATTTATTTTCTGGAAAATTGTGATACCGAAATGTTCGCGTTTTATATTAAAGATTAGGAAAGGTTATTTGCTCAATAAACTGATTATAACTTTAAATTTATATCGCGCGCTTCGTTACCCGTCAAACAGAACGTTGCGCAGCGCGATAGCGGCTGTCTCTATGGCTGCTTTTACTCGGCGACATTATTTCTTGCAACTGCGCTGTTGTGCAATGAAAGCGTAGTAGTTTCTATTAAAAACTTGCTCTCGCGAGCCCGTTTAAAACTTGAACAGTTATTTGTATGGCGTTATCGTCTCCCTCCGCGTTGCTGCGAACGAGAAATAGTTGCGAACTTGGACCATCAGCAGAAGTTTCAAATCCCATCGAGATTTATATTGTAGGCTGTTTCCGTCTTGCATACTGCTTTCTCTGTGCGATAATGCACTTGACTTACATATTTTCTTCCACTTTAACAAATAGAAACTTTATATAAAAATTTGCAAATAAGCGAGCAATATTGTTGATAAGATCCTTCGCGATTATTCGAAGCGGTCTGTAATCAATAGTACACATTTCTTATCTCAGAGTTGTGTATATTAAAACGAAATGCATATTAAATTTGCATCTGATGTACCAATTTACGTCACAAGACCGATTTTATGATGCGATAACTTTCTTGATTAGAGAAAAAAATTTAAACAGCTGCCAAGCACCGACAAGACAATATAAAATCTCTGTGCATAAGCACACATTACTAAGATGCGATTTTCTGGTGCTTTCATTGGCGGACGGACCGCCGCAGTAGTCACTTTATAATATTGCGTGCACATCGTATTGCACAATATTGCGCTTCGCCCGGATACGCCATCAGCGCTCATATCTCACACTGTAACTTTATATCGCGCCGTACGAAGATTTCGCGTCATCTGTGTGTGCTCCGTGCTTCTTATCAAACAATAAATTTAAATTAACGTAACCGCTGATTAATATCGTTATTGCGATCTGCAATAACTATTTATTGCGGACTGCACGATACCGCTACCACGCGCGCACTCGCATTAATACTGGAATTCCATATAATCGCGCCGTGACTCGCTTCATCGCAGAGAAACACGTGCTCATTGATATTGCCTATCGCGAGCTTTTATGCCCGTGTCTCGATAGAGATTGCTTTATGCACGGACGATCAAGTCTGTCGGAACCGTTCGATTCTCAAGCGGCGCCTCGTTTCACGTCTGTTTCCTTAAACAAACTTTTTGTTTATGCCTATTTTAGTGAATGCAATTTGCACGAACTACTTCACCTTTAAATAACCTACGATATTGAATATTCGCAATGGTGTATGGAATGTAAAAGAGAACATTTTATTTTCAATTATTACATTTCAATAAAAATCTAAATTTTCCGATCTCATCAATAATTGAAAAAACGATAATACAATTATATTTGTTTATTTTTTATTCATTTTTTTATTACAAAATATTGTAATTTGTTTCGCATAGGAAAAGAATCGAAAAAAAAAATGTGTTTATCAAAACGCGCCGATCGAGTTCGATTAAAGGATCTAAGTAGATTAACGTAAGATACTTGAAAGCTACACTATTCTCTATAACTGCCATTCCTCTGTTCGGTTAGTGGACCATTCAGAATTAGTCGTAAACAGTCTTGTTTGCGCGGAGCTAGCTTCTGTATGAAATTTTCCCTAAACCCGAAAGGAGGTCAAACGTGTTACAGGAAGAAATTGCACAACACGAGCTCCGCGACGTACATCCAGAATGAGGGCTCGACCTTTTTGATCAGCGGCGCTCGCTTTAGGCCCTCCTCGGCGTGCTCGGTAATCGGTGGCAGTACTCTTCATTTAGCGTTCTTACATCTTTCATAACGAGGCGTCTTCGGTGCCACATCTGCGGTGTCCTTTCATTTACAGCTGCATTCATCGCGGCGTTCTTTTTCACTGTTCGCCTCTCGAGGGTCAGACTCGCTAATGAGAAGGACGGGAACTTTGCATAGCTAGGAGGGCAAGATGGGGGGGGGGCGGGAGGGGATGACATGGTGGAAAATGGAATCTGCTCTCTCGAAGGACACTTTTTCATCGAGCTAATATGACGCACGAGTCGCGAAACTGGGCCACTCTGTCTTCTACAACAACAATTCCGATATCTTAGTTTGCTCGAATGCGATATAAATTCTAATTACCGTTTATTCGTTGTTTTTGCTAAAGTACTATATAACGAATCATGTTTTGATCACGAGTGAATCTTGTTACGCGACAAATTGCGGATATTTTATAATTAAATTACACGGAGCTCTGCTTTATTTCTTGCAATTAAGAACAGCTTCTATATTTATCGTGTGAGCTCGAATGCGAATATCAGAATTATAATATTTTCACCTGGGCAACGGTATCTTATTGCAAGGTTGATTAATTTAGCGATCCGCAAGACGACTCGCCACATTGTACATATGTGTGTTGAATCTGATACTCGCAATTACGTTGAAATATACCTTCGCATAATCGTGCTATTGCACGCCTGTTTGCGCGGATCGTTCGACTATCGCGAACGTTTATTTCCCGTCATTCGATTTATCGGAGTCAGATCGGGAATGTAGGACGATATGATTTCTCTCAGCCTCTCTATGTTCCAGCATTTTTACTTGCAGATCTTCGACCGTACATTAACTTCGAAGATTAAAATTGCGAAAATAAAGTAACGAAATCAATGAATACCAAAGTTTGAATTAAAATTGCAGATTTGGACAATTTTTTTCCTAATATTTTAATTCTGTGACGGATTACATTCTATTATTTTTTATGACAATCGGATTTTTGCACAGTAAGTAGCTGCAAAATTCCAAAAAGTTTAATGTTACTCGCATCCGGAGATAATGCTACACGAAGTTTTCGTCTTCACAATCAAGACACACTTTTTGCGCTATTTCCACTCGCATTTCAGGCATTCATAAATAACGTTTCGCAAACATTCAGGAAATCGATGTCGAAGTGGTCAAAGTCCAACTCGAGCATTTTATTGAGATGTTACGCTGCATCAGCCTGTCGGCTTGTCGAACTACAGTAACGCCTCCCGCTCGCGTCGGAGTCGTGTGCTTCCTTTAATCGATATCGTTAGGTAACGGGCGTGTTCACATTCATCACGCGCGCGTTTATCATTAATCCGTTCGCTTACACCGATTGCGCATTCAAGAATCCTGCAGACTTTATAATTGTACGTCTGTAATTATGTAAATGCCGATCGCGTACGCATTACGCTCGCAACTATGTTAGCTGTGCATGCGATAATCATGCATCGACTTAAACGGTACCGCGAGTAATGGACGACCGGTCGTCATCGCTTACGCCAGCCAGACCGGTCGGCAGTCCTTCTTTCCGAATCACCGGTAATTACGGCGTTTAATGCGCGACGATCGATAAACACGCCGCTCGAAAGTGAAAATCGCGCGGAAAGAGAGTGAGGGCGGCTCGTAACGTCACCGGAAAACCAGATCGTCTGGGATGTAGCGCTGTGCGTGCATACAATTGCCCGTGTGTTTCCGAAATTCCGATGCATCGCACGCACGCGCGCTAGTGTGTGTCCATGCGTCACATGTGCTGCACTGCAGCGAATGGAAAACGAATCGATGACCCTTCCGCCTGCGATACTGTTCCGCTCGTTCAAAATTGTTAGATGAAGCTAGTGTCATGTATTGAACGTTTCCAAGTCTAACAATCTAAAATGTTAAATATGGAATAAGGAAAAGATACTTATGTACATTAGGTATGCTTTGTATTTAATTAACGTCGTACGGGGAACGTTAGACACTTAAATTAAACATTTTATTGCTATGTGCAATAAATAACGTCAAAATAATTGGGGAGCTGAATGCAAATCATTAAAAAAATTTTGTCAAAATTAATTCACGATACACAAATATATTCCGAATTCTGTAATATATTTCGGAGATACTTCTTCAAATGTAAATTTAACTTCTTGCCAATTATTATAATTAAATATGCATAAGTTGGAGATATATTATACATTTATTCTCGATTATATAACTTGACCACAAGAACTGGATTGGTGGATAACAAGGAAGTTTGCAGTAGAAATTGTCGATTGACGTAGGATTGCGTTAGCATTAGCATCTAATTGCCGCAATGCGCGCGTGTGTAACTCGAAAGTAGAACGTTGTTACTGCTATCGCACGCAATTAATATCTCTCGATCTGCATGCGAAAAAGGCTGTTACTCCAGTAATAACTTTACTCTTGTGCATGTAGGAGCTGCGCGCGTGTGATTTCGAAGGATCCTGTTACCCACGCTTATTCCTCCAATGGGAATAATTCAATCGGTCGTTTACTTTTGCAAATATATAAAATAATAATATGCGATGCTGCAGCGCTGTAACGCATTTTTCATGTTTAACGCAATGGAAAAAGAAGGAGCAAAAATGATGTGACTTCTGGGCATGTGCATATTATTGGATAGCATATTCCTTATGTCAGAAAAAAGAGTTATAAAAAAAAATATGAAAAATGTCATGAGATAAATTTTGATAAAGAGAAATTTTTGTCAAAGAGACAATTGCATGATTCATTATTGTGTCGTGGATTTCAAGTTTAAATACAGACGCCTATATCTCGCGACAATACATGTCCACTTGAAAAAGATCATTGACGAACGGCCAGCGCGAATCGATCGGCAGCGAGAAGGCCACGGATACAGACAGCCTCTCATCTCGCATCTCCGCG